TAAAAACATCATTAGCTCTTTACTATGATTCATTACAACAAGTTGATGTTTATGCTAATGATATTTATGTATCACCAACAAATCGTGCACAAAATTTCTCGTTTTTAATGTTACTTGATCAACCAAATGGTCTAACATATGGATTACAAGCTGGCTCAAACTTCTTTAATAGGTAAAAAAAAAGATCTTCAATGATATATAGACATGTAATATATATGTTTATTTATTTATTTATTTATTCAATACAGAACAACACGAATGGCATCATTTATTATTGATGGTGCTACTGTTATTGATTTGAAAATATCTGAATTAATTGTACTAACATTTGGTTTACCACCTACAACACCATCATCATTCTTTACAACTAATATAGTTGCTAATTTAGCTGCTTTACTTGGTGTTACTACTGATAAAATTCGACGGGTTGATATTGTTTCAGCAAATAATGAGACGTAAGCATTTCTATATCATTGATTTTTATTTTTTTTATTTTTTATTGATTGATTTATATCTTCTTTATTAGTCGTATTCGTCGTCAATTATCTTTATCATCAACAATTGAATTACGTGTTGAAATACGTGAGGAACCACAATCAAGTTTATCTCTCAATAATAATCCATCATCTACACTAATTTCAAATGTTAATTCTGATATTATTAATCGTTATCAATCAGGTATATTACAAACAGCATGGGCAAATGATCCAGATTTAAATGTTACAAGTTTAATAAGTTTATCTGTTCAAGAACCAGGAAATCAAACAACAGTATCATTAAGTACTATAGATCGATTAGAATTAACAGTTTCACCATCATCATGTCGTTGTCAAAGTCGATGTGATTTTCAACCAGTACTTGTTGCTTATGATGCTTCGGGTAATGTAATAGAAAAATTAGGTTCAAATGATCAACCATGGCAAGTTGTTGCTATGGTTGTTGGATCAACAGGTGTTGGTGTTATTGGTGCTGTTGCTAACTATTCAAATGGACAAACACAATTTTCATCATTTGGTGTAAACGCAACTGGTACATATCGATTTGAATTTGCTTTTATTACACCACGCGGTGTTAGCAGGTAAATAAAACAAAAACTAATTTTCTTTTTCTTTTTTGTTTGTTCTATTAATAAATTGATTTTCTTTATTTTGTTTTACCTTTCTAGTTCATTTGTTGCAAGTGTTAACTTAGTAATTGGTTCATCAGCTGTATCAGTTTCAGATGCTATATTAGATGCAAAACAATTTATAGATGTTCCTGTTGTTTCAAAAAATGAAACATTCAATATGACAGCTATACTTGTTGATAAAATATCGAAAACTCAAATTGGAAATATTCAATGGAGTACTTTTACATGGTCAGCAATAGTTTCACTTTATACTTCATTACAATATCAAGGCACTGGTTCATTAATAACAACATCGTCATCAAGAATTATCGTTGATCCAACAGCAGGTACCATAACAGCTACAGATTTGGCAATAAGTGACAAAGGAATGTATATTATTAAACTTCAAATAACATCATCCAATGGTCAATATTCAATTCAATTTACTTCAAATGGTATTTTAGTTAAAGAGAATTCAAGTAAATAATAATTTCTTATTTTGTTTTGTTTTTCTTTGTTAAAGAAAATGCTTTAAATTATATATTGTATTTTATATTCTATAGCTGTTCTTGAAGTTTTTACTGGTTTTCCAACAACATATATGACATATAATGCTGATTATGATGCATTAGAAAGCGAGGGTAAACTTGAACAGTTCCGAGCAACGTTGTATAATTATTATACTATTAATCTGAAATTACCTGTTAGCAGTGATATCATACTGAGAAAAGGTTTGTTAAATTAAAGAATTATAATTGTATTTGTTTTTTTGGTTTAATCAATGAATTGAAATTTTTAGGTAGTGTCTTGGCTGCTGCGACTTATAGTACTAGTGGTTCTAGTGGATCTCAGGCTTTTCAAACAGGTATTAGTAACATGTTATCAAATCCTAGTGCTGTATCTGGTGCACAACTTTCTTCAATCAATCATAATAGTCGAGTATATACTGCTTCATCAAGTTCAACTTCTAGTAGTAATGGAGGAAGTAATAATATAGGATTAATTGTTGGTCTTATTGTGGGTCTTGTTGGTGGTATTATTGTTATTGTTGGTGTAGTTTTTGGTTATTTTAAATATCAAAAGATACACAAAGGTCAACGTCTTGTGAGTGGTGTTGATGAAGTAAATTCATTTCCGGTTCAATCACAACAAAATTATGAAAATACAATAAGTCCACCACAATCAAGAAATGATGGTTCTCATCTAACGCGACGTACGTCTGTTACATCACCAACTGCATTGAACTCTAATAATAATCGACTTCATTCACCATTATCAAATGATACAAATGGACAACGAGTTCCATCAGCTGCAGTTAGTATCACAATGATTGATCAAATGACACCAAATAATTCACATCCTTCATGTAAACCAATGCCAGATGTCGAACTTATCAAATTTGACTAGACTGAACATTAGTTATCTCTTTTTTTTTCTTACTCCACAATCAAAAACAAATATTCTTTTCTTCTTACATTCATTTTAGTTTTTCTTTCATATTACTATTTCTCTTTCTATGTAGCTTTCAAATAAACTCATATTTAGTTCTTCCTAAATAGTTCACTAAGTGCTTTTATTTATTTTATTTTATTTTTGTTGAAATGAATTAAATCCTTGCGAATTTACTGAGTGTAGGATAACCTGCTACCAGTTCATCATAGGAATCTGAAAGTACAGCAATACCTTGAGAAACTTTATGGATTTTTAGCTTTAGGCCACAAAATATTTCTAAATATGCTATCTACTAACTTGTGAAAAAAGTTTTTTCATAGAATACAATAGACACTAGCTAGATGTCTGACAAGTATTCGTATGCTGAGTCATTACTCAGCACAGAACCTTGCTATCGACTGATTCAGTACACGAGTACCTTGAGCTCAGCAATTTCATTTGATAAAAAATAAAAGTGTTCAAAACATTTGTGATAAAAGAGGTTCTATATATATTGACTTATCATGATCTAAAGATCGAGTTGGTTTTTTGAATGATATACCAAGTAATTATTTCTCATCAAAGAATCTATGATAAGTAGCTTACTTATTGAAATAAATATAACATCGTTTTTTTTTTGTTATTCTCCGATAATATCTTGTCTGTCAATGCTTTGCATTGAAAAGAAATCTCTAATATAAATATGATCATCAAATTTATGTTTTATTCAATTAGTATTTTGATAGATATATTTGCAAACATATTGAGTAGTTAACATTTTGATTATCAACGTAATGTTTTTTTAATGCTCAAATCATCATTTATTATGATATTCTAATCGATTGATTCGGTTTACAACTGATCGTCGAAAACAACTCATAAATTTCTTGAAATATCCTTGTCTGTTTGATTGTAATGGTCGATTAGTTATTTGTTGACTACAACACTTTCTTTTTTTTCTTTTTATAGATTGAGATAAATGTTTGTTGTTGTTCTGCTTTTTAGTCTTCAGAAATAATGGTGAATGATTACTAACACTTGTTGCACTACTACTTCGTTGTCGTTCTGTATTTATTGAAACACAATTAGGTGTTGACATATATTTTTTGTTATTATCTAAAATACTTATTGTTTCATTCTCTCTTTCAGCACTTTTTCGTCGTTCAATTACATTCAACAGAGAAATATCATCTAAACAAATAGATAATATGAACGAAATGTATTGTTTTGAAAAATTTAGTAAATAATTTTATTTTAGAAGTTTACCATTCATTTTAGTAAGAAAACTTGTGGAAGAAGACGTTCGATATTTAGAATAATTATCAAAATGGAAATCATTTGGAGTTTTATTGATTGAAAGTTGTTTATTTGAGATAGGACTTTTGATTTTTTGGATAAGATGAATACTATTGTCGCGTTGTACTGATGTCATCGATAAAGGTGACACTAAACGTTGTTCCCAACTTTTGTTCAGTAGACTTGGATTATGCTTAATTTTATTAGAAGATGTTGATGTCACTGAAGAATCGTCACTATCAATCTGTAAGGAAAAAAAAAACATTTTCGACAAAACTTCATACATGCAAGAAATAATCCTTTTTATTATCGAAAACTATGTAATGGAATTCAGTAGATTCGAGTTCAATGATCTAAAAGCATTGTCTTATATGAGTGGAATATTTAAGGGTTTACTTGTCCACTTTCTACACTTCCTGAAAAATGATTCGTCAGAAAAATTTGAAGTTTTCAGTGTAGATAGACCTTGACGAGTAAAGTAAAATTTGTCATCGACTCAAAGTTTTCAGAGACTATCTTTTATGAGACAGTAGAATCATAACAGCGAAAAATAGCTTTCCCATATCTCCGAAATGTTATGTTCGATTAAGTTGAAAATTGTTTTTACAGACAAGAGATAGTGTTTAGAATAGATATTTTTTTATTGTATGTCCTTCGAATAAAACAGCTAATATGTCGAAGATACCCTAAGAAATTCATGGTTTTTTAGTAGAGCTTTTTCTGTAAGACTTACCAAAAACTAATGGAAGAATAGTTTTTAAAAATAAAAAAAAGTACTCATCCTAAGCAGTGTAAATTATATATGGAAAAGTTTCAGCTCGATCAGACGTACTAAGCCAAAGAAATGGTGGCGTTTTTGCACTTTTTTTCATGAAAAAGTTAGTTAGAAGAAAACGCGAAACAATATGTAATTTTCGCTATTTCCGTTATGTGAATTTCATTGCTTCTTGATCTACTTAATGTTCAAAGACGATTTTTGGATCTTAAAATGTTCTCAGTCAATAGATACTAATGCAGACTTTATACTGACTATGAAAGAAACAAAAATTTTGTGTCACGAAAAGGTAGAAGAGTAGCCCTAATCAGATACGATTTGTATTGAAATCTTTAGATTTGACCATTTCTATTCTTATATACAATGTACTTAGTTGATTTAGGTGCATTATTACAAAAGTTTACTCACATGTGTTTGATATGAGATCGGAGTTTGACTAATATATTTTTGAACACTTTGTTTATCATTACTTTGTTTAATACTTGTTGTACTCTTTATGTCTCTAACATCGTTTATGGATAGATTTTTACGAGATTCAATTGATTCGCGTGATTGCTTAGTATTTATTGATTTATTGTGTGTCGGTGATAAACTTTGACTAGTTTTACGTGACATTTTGTTCGATGAAATTCGATATCCATAAATTTCGGAAGATTGAGGTGATAGTAGAACACTTTTGTCATCGTTTTCTGTATAGATGTTTAATTGTTGTTGTTGCGGAGTTACACGAGAAGGTGTGCGTTGTGGTACATAATGATCTGTCATCGGTGTCAAAAGTAATTCTTCAGTATGAGGAGATGTTTCATGAGTTTTCATGCGTCTACTAATCTCCGACACTAATAATTGATCAAATAAAACAGATTTATCGATTTATATAATATATAAGTGTAGTAATGGCAGGACACACTTACCATGCATAGAACGAAGTCTAATAGGTTTATCAATATTGGAGTTACCACTCGAGAAGGTTGACGATCGTTTTGAATTGACAATAGACGACTGTCGTGATATTGTACGATTACCACCAAGTCTGTTTGTTGGTGCATTTTGATCTTGAGCTTTTATAGAATTTACAGATATTCTTTGATTTTTATTATTGAAATCTGCATTGAATGACATAGATAATATTGTAATTATTTTTTAAACAGATCCGAATATAAACTACCTTTGTATTCAATAGTTTTAAGATTTGCTTTAGGAGAAGTAACTGATATTTGTTGTACTATTGGTGTTCGATTATTAGTAGAACTTGCTGTCTTTTGTCGATTACGATCGAATTTAACTTCTTCACGTAAAAGATTATTTTGTTTGTATTGTTGTTTTAACATGTTTCGAAATGCTCGTTTGTTTCTATTCAATGATTTATGTTCTTCGATATCATAACCTAAATTTCGACGAACATTTTCATCTTTTATTCCATAAATCAATCCGACACTATTAAACTTTTCGTTTGAATTTTGCAGTGGTTCTAAAATTGGCCATGGTATACACATGTTGGATTCATTGTATGTTAATAAGCATTCGGTGAACAAGGTTGGATTTTCAATAATATGAGAAGAATTCATACAGGAATACATGTCGAATAGTGGCTGTGCAAAATCTAAAGTTTTTGAAGTAATTCTATTCAATGAAACCGTCAAATGCAAAAATGTTGCTAACCTACATTTGAATTGTTATTCATATTGGTACAGTCCATACAAGATTTGATCATTTTTTCTAAACGATCTAGTAATTGTATAAACATGGTTGTCTGTGGACGATTAATCATAGTTGTATTTTCTTGTTGTTCTTGGCCTAAATAATGAATGAAAGAGGCAAGTTCATGAAGAATTGAAGAGACGGATGAAATATCCAGAATAGGAGAATTTGTCATATGTTCATAGGTATTATTTATCTGAATTTGTAATATTAAACGAAATTGATGGATCAATTCAGCAACATCTACTATTTTTTTAAGTTGAAATTGATTATAAAATTGTTCATATTGAATAACTGATGAAAGAAAAACTAAAAATTCACCAAGAAAATCAATTAATATTTTTAGAATATCTTCTATGGATTGTTGTTGTAAGTTATGATTATTGATACATGCGGAATTGTTATATATTTGAGTAGTTAACATTCTACAGCCATTCATTTGCAAGGGTATATTTTCAAGTAAATTTTCAGAACATTCTTTCTGTTGATTAGAAGAATTTAAGGATTGAGATAAGAAAGGAATTGCGTTTGATTTATGACAGAATCGTTCAGTTGAATTATGATGCATTTCTTGTCGCGCTATTTCGATTTTCTTAGTACATTATCAATTATTTCATGAATAAACAATTGTTCAGTTTACGATTAATTGATCATATATACAAACTATTTGGCTTATTTGTGAATAGTATGTTCTATCATTTGATTAAGATCGACAATTTGATATTTATAAAGCATCAAAGTATGAAGCGAGACCATTCAAAAGTGTTAGAATAACATTAATAGAAAAACATAAGAAAATAATTTTTCTTACAAAATATCATCAAATAACAAAAAAAAAAAAGAAAAAAAATAGCGAAATTGATAGTGAAACTATGGTTATAATAAACAATTGAAGACTTTATGTATTACTTACTGACATATCAAAAAATAACAATCATTCATCTAGCCGTTCTTTTTTTTGTTCTTGTCTAGGTTCACATAAAACCGTACATTGCCACTTAATATATTCATTCATGACTAATTTTTCATTGACAAATGTATTTGTTTTACAACTTCCAGAGCAGCGTATAAAATATCGTAAAAAGAACAAAGAACACAAACAGAAAAAGCATTGAAGTATGAGTATTACTTTTTTTTTGTCTGAGAATTTCATAAAGGGTTGGAAATCTTTTCAGCTGAGAATATAAAGGTGTGATAGAAAGTAGTTGGCAATGATTTACTCCAAGTTGATTTGCTGGCAATTTGCTTGTAGTGAGAGTTACAAAATTTCGACATTATAAGTGTTATTGCCAATTTTGTTGCTAAATCTTAGTTTGCTGGATGAAGCAAAAACAAAGTGGATTGAAATGTTCGATGTATCTATGCAAAGTTAGAGTTTTGATTATCTAAAAGTTTCAACTCGAAATAATAAGAATTTTTCTCCAAAAAATTTCCAAAATTTTCCTCTTAATCTTGTAGTTTACCATGTGTCACTGTCAGTAGTGTAATAACTCAAGCGTGAATTTATTTACTGTGAAATCGCTCTGTAGTATTGGATACTTGAAGTTCAAACATTCAAGCATTAGCTGTTCAACTATTGAGTTACTCTACGCCTCAGTGTAGAGATGTATCTAAAGATTTCATAGCATTTCCAGTCGTTAGGATATACTCCAAACTATTGCTAATGGGTGTGAAATTAAGGTCTAGTAACTCATCAATCAATACTATAATACTTCAAACTTCAATTTTCCAATCATTCAAGTTTCGATTATAACATGTATGATTAGCATCTTTCTTGTGCTCTTTGATTTCTTTGTCCGATATGGTATGGTTCAAATATTGATTCGTCCTCTTCATTATATGAAGTTCTTTCCCATATTAACTCATATAAATTGAACAATTGATCAACGAATTCTTCTTCTTGAAGTGTACTAAGTGATGATAGAGCCGGCATTGTCTCAGACGATCGTTCTCGAAGTTATTGTGTAATTCAGTTTACTTTATCGATTGTCTATCATTTAGACTATGATGAATCGAGTTGTCTTCACATTACTAAACAATATATTGTTCTTTCTTTCTTCTATATCCTCGGTATCGTCACAGGCATGCCATAACAATTGAAACTATTGGTACATGAAAAACAAGTCCTACTGAACTCGCTCATTTTTGTTTGATATTCATGCATAATTATGACAGAAGACCTTATTGTTTTATTCCGAAATTTCATGTTTTAGATCGATAAAAAGACGAAGAAACAGTTTAAACTTTTTACAACTAGTAGTTGCTAACTACGATGTATTTGTAATTTTTATAATACAAAAATCATCCTAGTGAATAATGTTCATAGAAGAAAACTGGAATCAACACATTCAACAAAACCTGGAAAACTGTCTTGTCTGCAGAGAACGCATTCTATAGTGTGACGAATGTATTTTAAATCGATAATAATATGTTGTGCATCTAAAAACTTTCTAAATCGTTCCATGAACTAATGGAACGGATTTTCTTTCGATCTCTTTTTCGAACAATCAAAATAGGTTTCTCTTCGAACTAGATCAGTTTCTTTGACGTTCTCTAGTGGAATACCTATGATAGATTCTTCGAACTAATGAACACATTCAAGAAGATCCTAATATTACTCATCAAAAAAAAAGAACGTGTTCTCTGTCGTTCTTCAAATTGCCTAATGTTTTCTTGTGGATTAAAAATCGTTTTTGATAAAATCGATTGCATTCTTGTTCGTTTCATAAATTTAATAAATGAATTCTGTGATATCGAGAAAGAATACTGATTAGCTCAAATTAAGTTCTTCGATTTTCTCATTGTTTCTTGACTGAAAAATGGTTATCATAATCGTATGTAGTTGTCTTTTATGAGTATGTTTTCAAGTAAAAAATTTAGTTGCCAATATTGAGAAGTTCTTGTCTACAGTTCGCTGCGAAAAATAATAAAAACAAATTATAAATCGTGCTTTCATATTGAGATCAACAACATCACTATAGTAGATGCTGTCAAGTATTAACAATAAACTAAGTATGAAATAAAAGGAAAGAACTTAGACGAATACTCTTGTATACGAAAACTATTTATTATTATGATTTGTTTCTAAAGTGTTTACAGTTCAAAAGATACTTTTAATAAATGTTCTCTCAAATAAGATCTACAACAATCTTAATACACAATAATTCTTGATACATAATACACAACTAATTATATAGTTCATGAAATAAATAATACTACACTATTAGTTTGACATAATTTTTATTTAACAGTATATTTGTAAATTATTTTGTAATATAGCTATCAACAGTTGCAAATAACATATATAAACACAGACTAATTCTGAGTATTATCTATATCGTCTTGATCTTGAAGAATATATTGAAAATTGTATGCTTTTTTTTCGTCGAAGTTTACACAATGACGTTCCTGCAAGTCAACTATGAAAAGTTTTTTTAAAATCATCTTTACTAAATTAATGAAATATCATGTTTATAGCATATTTTAAGCATTTTGAGTAATGTTCCTCGGTTAGACTTTGTTTGAATAGATTCAGGAACCAAAATTAGAATATTGACACGTTCAAAAAAAAACCCAATGATTATCAAAAAGTTTGTTACACATTTTTTATTTGAAATAACTATGAATGTCTTTGTGGCCATATGATTTTGTATTGCCGTGATGAACGTTGACAGCATCTGTAGGAGATTCTAGTCTTCGCTTCCTGATATGTTGACAATAGAGTGTTTCATCGTACTTCAAAACCTGACTCTGGCGAAGGCAGCAAAAAAAATTTTTCAAAGTCGAAGCCAAAATCCGAGTTCTGAAAATAATATTATTCCGAGTAGAAGTTATCGCGAAGAATATTCCTCAAATAAATATCGGCGTTACATCACTAAAAAAATTCAATTACTTTTACTTTTACATAGTAATAACTTTATTCTTTATATGTGAAGTAATGAACAAAAATAGACTATTTTATGAATTCATAAATAAATTGCAAGAAAAAAGTCATCAGAGAGATATTCTCATTAACAATTAACACAAAAAAGAACTACACAAGCTAGTTGGAAGCAATTTTCAAATTGTCTTGAAGGTGGAGTTAGATTGTCTTGATTAAAATTTTTGTCTACATTAGTCACTAGTTCACAAGGAATTTCCAATGATTTATTATATCATAGTAGTAATCAAACACTCATTATCATTCTATATAACGGATGAGCATGGGATCAGGTGTTTCAAGATTGGTACAGGATAACATATCTGTTACAGATCGGACAATATATGCTTCTGTTGATAAATTCGTCACTTTTATGAAAATATTTTGATCGTTTTTTTAATTGTATTGCATAATGAAGATTGACAATTGTAAAAAGAATATCATTCAGTATGAAAACCACAAATTTCGTTATTTACCGAAAAAAAATAAGAGTACACAGTATCCATTCGAATATTTTTAATATTGTAATCTCAATGCAAAAATAATCATGGAATAGATAAATATACAACATTATCAGTACTATTATTAAGTATGAACGGAAATTCTTCTCTAAATCTTCTTTGTTTAGATATAATATGAATTTTGATATTTTTCGTACACTTTAAGTATAATTAAGCTTTTGATTTATATAGGATTTTTAACAGAAAAAAATGAAAAACTGCCTCTTTTGACTAATTATTCTATAAATGAAAAACAAATTCTTCAATATTTCCTTTTGCTAAGCGGAAGGAAGAACGTGACGTCTAGCAAACTCATAGCTATAATTAATTATAGAATGTTTTTACATCTATGTGTCAGGCAATGTTGAGATTCAGA